AAACTTTATCTTAATCTGCCCACTGCTTCTCATTTCTAATCTGAAAATCACCTAGATGAGAGAAGAGTAGTATAGAATTCTTTTCTGATAAAAAAAAATCTGGGCATGATGTTTTATGCATAAGACAAAAGCACAAAAGTATGTACAAGGCAATTAATGCTAACAAAGTAATCCTATTTCTTCTTTCTTTTCCTTGCCTTTCACACATTTGTCCATGCCAATATCCTGGTTCTTGACTCAGTTGGCAGTTGTGTGATGATTTCTCTCTTACAGTTCATTGTGCACTTGTCTTATATCTGCACTGAACTGTTTATATTATTTGTCTATTTCTTAAAGATCTCAAGGCAATCTTTTCTAACCATGCTAAAGTATCTCAGACCATTTAGAGAATGTGTACATATTGGAATGACAGTCTCCAGGGAGTCCTGAGGTTGAGCCTAGGACATCAAAATAAGCAAGTGCTCTACCTCTTTAGCCTACTCACTTTAAAAATATTTTGTTCATTTTTTTGAGCTAAGATCTCTCTAATGTTGCCTGGCTGGCCTTGGATTCAAAATCCTCCTGTTTCCACCTCCCCAACAGCTAGCACTACTGGTGTACACCTCTATGCTTCTTCTGTATGATGCAATTATTTCTTTTCTTTTCTTTCTTTTTTTTTTTTTTGTCAGTCGTGGAGCTTGAACTCTGGGCTTGGGCACTGTCCCTCAGCTCTTCAGCTCAAGGCTAGTGCTCTAGCACTAGTCACAGCACCACGTTCAGCCTTTTCTGTTTATATGGTATTGAGGAATTGAACCCAGGGCCTCATGCATGAAAGGCAAGCACTCTACCACTAGGCCACATTCCCAGCACCGATGCAATTATTTCTTAATAACAATCATGAAAAAAAGAATAGTAGATATCACAAAAGAAATACAGAATGAAAATTTCTAATGAATTTTATAGATATTAGACCCACAAAAAATGAGAAAAATAGAAACAACAGTAAATAGAAATGAAAAAAATCTGTTATAATAAATTATGCATATCTGTTATAAAGAATTGGTCTGTTTTCTGTGAATTATGAAGTCACATTGGTTTTGTTGTTGTGATTGTTGTTTGTTGTTTTCTTGTGTGAGTCCTGGGGCTTGAACCCAAAGCTTGGACATCAAAGTTAGCACTCTACCACTTGAGACACAGCACCACTTCCAGCTTTTCCTGAGTAGTTTATTAGAGATAAGAGTCTCGTTTCTTCCTGGGCTGGCTTTGAACTGTGATCCTCATATCTCAGCCACCTGAGTAGCTAGGATTATAGGCAGGAGCCACCAACACTCTACACATTTCTGTTTTTATAATGACTTTACCAAAATTAGTCTTCTTTGAACAGTAAACGTTAAGTGAACAAATAGACAGTTTGTCCATTTGCCTTTGTGCATAGCTAGATGAAAACTAACTTTTAACTCTTAATTTCAGAGTTTCTCTTACATGGGCAACAGATATACAAGCAATTGAGAAAAGATTTCAATATGATAAGTTTGACAGAGGTTAATAAAGATCTCCTTTAACAGCAAACACTAGTTGTAGTATTTTCTATGCTTTGCTTCTCTAGAACAATTCTGGTTTCTTCTGAATATCTCTATAGTTGAGATCTTTTTCCACCAATATACCTTCATGAGAAAATTCATTAACTTTAACACAATTAACAAATTAAAAAGAAATCTGATGCTGGTTGCTCATGTCTGTAATCCTGGCTACTTAAGAGGTTGAGATCTGAGAGTAGCAGTTCAAAGCTAGCCTGAGCAGGAAAGTCTAGGAAACTCATCTCCAATTAATCACCAAAAAGCCAGAAGCAAAGCTATGGTTCAAGTGGCAGCACACCAGGTTTGAACAAAAAAAGCTTAGGGACAGTACCCAGGCCAAGTTCAAGGCCCAGAACTGGCACAAAGGGGAAAAAAAAGAAAGAAACCTGAATTTTAAAAGATCTATTCAAAACAGTGAAATACTTTATGTATGAACTAAAATTTACACCTACTATGCATGATATTAAACTTCAAAGATTGCCTACTTCCTTATAATATGCATAATAAACAAACCAAAGCTGTGTTTACATGAAATGATAAAACTGAAGAAACTCAACTTCTGTTTGTTTGTATTTACAATCATCTGCAGTCATTGTTTATTTCCATTTCTTTTTAAACATAGGACAACTCATTCCACAGGGACTGGGGACATTAACTGTGCCTCTAGTAAACTTGAATGAAAGATCCACAATAGATGTATATACCAAGTCAGTGACTATTGGAGGCCCATGCTATAACTGGGAACTCTCCAAATTAACTTCTGTGGGGAATACAATGTTCTTTAAGATATAATCTATTAGGACAGCACTCCAAAGGCTGAGGCAGGAAAACCACAAGTTTAAGTCCAGCATGAGATATACAATCAACACCCTTTATCATTTTATTATGAAGCTAGATGCCCCTAAATACTAAAATTTCTTTTTATTTAGTTTCCAATGCAGCCTAGCTTTGGTCTTCACTGGTGTACCTGAAATTATTCATGCAGAGGGCATCAAAGACTATTCTGTTTAACTCAAGGGACCCTTCTAACACTACCTTATCTTTTGACACTGCCTGCAAGTCCCTCATTCTCAAAATACTTTCTACCTTTGTCAATCATGACACCATCATTTGTAACTAAAAGTTTACTTGCTTTTCTTCCTAGTTATATGCTAGGAGCATGTCTGTTTTGCCTGGCCTAGAGTAAGTCCGTAGCAAGCATCTGTATACCAAGTCCTTCACTGATGGAGCCACTACTGAGTAATGCAGTTACACAGAACTTAAATACAGCAAAAGCTTTGGTTATCATGATGTGTGGACCGTGTTGGCTGATGGATGGCTGAGCTGGGGAACGCAGTCTTGTGACTTTCAGCCCAATAGGCTTTGAAACACACCACCACCTCCATGCTTCATGGCCTACTAATGCTTCCAAAATCTGCACCTAGAGAAAATACTGTTCAGTAATGCATCACCCTCTTCAAAGCAGCAGTCTGTAAAATGTGGAACTATTTTATAAAGATTCATTACTGAAGGAAGATAAACCTGGGTTGATATCTTTATATGTAGATTCATCAAGCCAGTGTTATAATTAACTTGATTTTGGGTATTCTGCTTTTGGGAGGGTTTGGATTAAAGGAGATGTTGTTTGGGTAGCAGAACCTTTCTTTCTCCAGTGCCATGTTTCCTGATGTTATCCTTCTTTTGTTCAGTTTAAACATGCACAAAATCTTCTCAGTGCAACTCCAGTTTCCAGTTTTTCTGCTGCTTAACCTAAGTGGTTTCTTTCTATCAGCTTTCCTTACTAGTAGGAAAAGAGAAAGACAGATCATTTAGGATGCAAACATTAGCAGCATAGCAACCTCCATAAATGTTTTGGTAATGTGTTGACCAGACCTATTTTTGCAAGTGCCAAAAGTCATCCCTCAATCAAGGGAAGAAAGCAGCTATCATTCAGGATGTTTCTTACGGCTTTTGCACATCTCTGTAGTACTTTCATGTACTTTCAGTACTTTTAAACTAGCTGTTTGCTGTTCGTGGCTGACACTAATCCTGGACTCATTCCTTTGAAGGTCTCTCCCAGTAGAAGCTCTAGTTTTAGATGAGCTCTTTATAATCAAATTTCTCATCCAAGAACTGGCTGACATGCCACCAGGGGCCTAGAGCTTGGGGAGTAAGTCTTTCTGCTTTCTGTCTCTGTCTCAGGGTCCCCTACTTATGGGGGCACTCTCAGCATCCATAGGCATATATATGTACAAAATGTAATAATGAATTTAATGATTTGTTATTTTTTCGAGTGAGGAAATTTAAAATGGATGCTTTTTATTACTCTATCTTATAGTTCATGAAACTATATATACTTATATAATTTCTTTCTTCCTATATAATTCAACAGTGATGGACTGGCTGGCCCCAAAGTCAGGACCATAAGTGGGAAAGTGAGTGCTGGGGTGACTTAGAACACCTAATAGCACTCAGCCTACAACAAATTAGACAGCCAGGACAACTATTTAAGAAAGTCAGGAAGTAGGCTTCCATTGTCAATAAAATTTCTTTCTAAATATTCTATTCCCTTTTGTTCTTTTTTGTTCTTTTTTTTTTTGGTCATGGGGATTGAACTCAGAGCTTGGCCACTGTCCCTGAGCTTTTTCCGCTCAAGGCTAGGGCTCTTTCACTTTGAGCCACAGTGCCACTTCTGGTTTCCTGAGAGTTTATTGGAAATAGTCTCATGACTTTCCTGCCCTGGCTGGGGTTGAATTACAATTCTCACATCTCAGCTTCCTGAGTAGCTAGGATTATAAGTGTGAGCCACCTTACTTTGTTCTTTTTTTCAATAAGATGTACAAGAGGATTTCATTTGACATGTCCATATATGCACACAATGTACCTGATCTAACACATCCCTCTATCCCTGTCCCTCCTATTCTTTATGTTCTGGCTTTAGTGGTATTTTAACAATACTTCAAGTTCAGTATCATACTATCATTATTGTTTCTTGCTATAGTAGTCCCCCGCAAATAGGAGAATCTAAACCTTTTTCACAGAGATGGCCTTCTTTCTTTAATATCTAGGAAAAATTTAGTGTGCAACAAATATATGTGTGTGTGTGTGTAAATTAATTATAAATATAAATGATGGACCATCTGGTACCAAAAAAGCTCTTTTATTCAGTAAGCTAAACTCACATAATTTCATGAAACATATCAAAGAATTGTTTCGATTTTTTTCTTGCCATACATTATACTAAAGGCAATGCCGTCAGCTCTTACACCTGCCTTCATTTGACCTGTGTTGTCAAATGCTTTGTGAGAAGACATTTAAAATGGTGCCATGTGATGTCAACTTGCATTACATCTTTCCCAAGGAGAAGTGTTCAGTATTCAAACCGTGTGTGTTCTGGCACAATCTATTTAGGTTCAGTTGCACTTCTGAAGGTTTGCAAGTACCATTTCCTTTGGCAGACTGTTCTTTTTTTTTTTTTTTTTTTGCAAATTCTCTACTAAAATAACCTTTGAAAGGACACTCTTTATATCTTATAAAGCTGCTTTCAGGAAATTCATTATGAAAAATAGCAAATATTTCAGAGAATTGATAGAAATGTTACCAATAAGCTAATATTAAAATTTCACTATTTTCATCAAATATATTGTAAAAAATTAAAATGATCACTTATTCATCCAAGGAAAGATTTCTTAATAAAAGTTTTTCAATAATATCACATGGCAGTTATAGAAAAGATAATTTATTGATTTGTTCTCAGATATCAGCCAGATATTCCTAAACTTACATAGAGTTGTTTAATTCTGTTACAATGATCAATGCCTACTGATAACACCTAATGTTTTCCTGATTTGGTTTCATAAACTATATGACATGGTAATTAAAAGCATCCATTTTAAGTTTCTTTACTTGAATAACTTAAATCATTAATTTATTATTATGTTTTTGTTTGAACATAATTAAGAGAAAGGTTTTATTAAAAGTCTAAGACAATTTTGAAATGAATTCCTGGTTTCCTCTATTCCCAACACCCAATTACAATAATTTCAAGTATAGTCATATAGCATTTATAATTCATCTGATTAGTTACTGCTTTACTTTAAGCTTTGTCCTTTCTGCCATTTTTCTGAAGGCGGTTTCTAGTTGGTTCTGTCAATACCAAGGGCTCTTGAATGATGGTTGCTGGGTAATTTTTACCCAGTAGTTCAACTTCCACTTGCTGTCCCACTTTACTTAGCTCTAGAGGGACATAAGCCAAAGCCAGACTCTTCTGGATACTGTAACTGTAGCTTCCAGACGTTGTGTTGCCAACCACCTGAAAAACAAAACCCAACAATGCTCAGCATCTTCCGATGAAATAATCTAAAATACAGAGTCAATTTGCAATGTGAAAGTTTTAAGAAATTCTGTCTAATAAAGGGGATCCAAATAGGGAAAGAAGAAATAAAACTCTCCCTCTTTGCAGATGACATGATCTTGTATTTAAAGAATCCCATAGACTCCACTCCCA